TTTTTTTTTTTTTTTATATTGATCAATGAGACTACTCATTATGTACTTCAATTGTAAAAGAACATTGATGGAATACAAGTTGAACTTTTTCCGTTGAAATTCTTGTGTATATTGCTATGTACTATTCTATATATTGTCCCTTACATTTATTTGACAATAACTTGAATTAAGATAACAACATCGAGATGTTAACTGTAAAACTTTCTAAGGTTATGTATGTTCCAAATGAATGGTAATGGGAGACCTTGTAAATTTGCTAATTGATAACACCCAGGTCGCTTAATACAAATAACCATGTAAGGACCTTCCCAATTAGGAGCGAGCTTGCCCATGTGCGAATAAGCATTGGTTAGTCCCGCTTTGCATAAAATCAGATCACTGACCTAAAACTGACGAGCTTGAACTCTTTTATTATAAAATTTTGCAACACGACTTTGATGCGCCATGTTTCTTATTTGAGACATCTCTCTAACCTCTTCCACGAGGTTTAGGTTCTCTCTTAAAAGTTGCTCATTGCGATGGTCATTGTGCCGATCTGCTCTATCAGATGGCAATCCGACTTCTACAGGGATGATAGCCTCAGCTCCATAGGCGAGGCTGAATGCGGTTTCGCCTGTCGCCAAGTTGGGCGTAGTGCGGCATGACCAAAGCACTTTATTGAGCTTGTCAACCCAATTAGAATGCGTAGCTAAAACACGCGTCTTGAGGCCTCGCAAGACGATTTTATTAGCGGATTCGGGTTGTCCATTAGACTGTGGAGTATACACAGATGTCAAAGCGAGCTCAATGCCATAGTCGTTACAAAACGACCTCAGTGCCGCGGCTTGGAACTACAAACCATTGTCAGCGATGATCCGCTTAGGTATACCGAACCTGTACACAGATGACCGAGCTGAGCCACATATTATATTTGTATATAATGTACCAATGGCTTAAGTCACCAAAGAATATCTACATAATATTGAATTGAACAGAAATTCCTCTATTTTCTTCTCTATTGTCGTGGATAAGGGTTTGGCTTCTATCCATTTGGTGAAGTAATCCACCGCGATAATGAGGTAGGTGCAACCTCCTTTGCCTTCAACAAAAGGGCCGAGCAAATCGACTCCCCACTGAGCAAAAGGCCAGGGAGATAAGAGTGATGAGAGCATTTCTCCTGTTTCAAGGAAGATATTTATGCTCAGCTTTTATACAAACATGAAGTTTGCACGAACTTTAGAACGAGCTCAGATACCTGGCATGTGAATATCATCGGCATTGAACTGGCAGGTCGGGCACTTTTTGACATAGTTCTGTGCGTCCTCAACCATAGTAGGCCAGTATTAACCATGCCTTAGGAGTTTCTAAGCTAAAGTTCTGCCACCTATGTCCGTGCCACATACTCCTTCATGAACTTCCCTCATAGCATATTTAGCTTCATAAAGACTAAGGCAACGTAATAGGGGCATTGAGGCTGCTCGTTTGTAAAGCTGATTATCCAACAAAGTGAAATGTGTCGTCCTGCATTTAATCAACTTTGCAGCGGATAGATCTCTAGGCAGCTTGCCAGTTCGCAGATACTCAATAAGGGGTGTAGTCCAGCTCGGCGAAGAGGGGTCTGCGCTTAATAATTGGCACTCGATTGTGAAGTCGGTGTAGCTCGGCGCATCAAGTACCTTGACAATTGTTGATCTCTAAGGTTTGATATCTTGTGAGGAGACTAATTTTGATAGTTCGTCAGCTCGTTGGTTATCCGCTCTAGGTATCTTGTCGATCTGGAAGGAGGCAAATCTTGACTTCAATCTGTTGACCACAGAGGCATAACGACCAAGCTGAGGATCTTTGATTTCACAGCTGCTATTCACTTGGCCCACCACGAGCTGAGAATCACTGAACACCTTAATGCTCTGCGCTTTCAGCTCAGACGCCAGCTTCAAGCCATAAATGAGGGCTTCATATTCCGCAGCATTATTAGTGGTCTGAAACTTAAATCTTAATGCATGCTCGGATTTAAAGCCATCCGGGCCCACTAACACAGCCCCAACACCCGATCCTTCAATATTAGCAGCTCCATTTACATACAAAACCTAGACTAGGTATTCGGGTGCCCTTTCTTCCACAGCCGCCGAGATGCACTCCACTAGGAAGTCCGCCATATCTTGGCCTTTTATGGTTGTGCGTGGCTGAAACTTGAGGTCATACTCACTTAGCTCGACGCTCCACCCGATAAGCCGACCAGAGAGTTCCGGTTTCTGTAGTATCTTTCTCAACTGCAGATCGGTATAAACAACAATTTGATGGGATTGGAAGTAAGCTCTCAACTTACGAGCGATGTATACTAGGGCAAAAGTAGCCTTTTCTGCTAATGGGTAGTTCTGCTCTGCGCCTTGTAAAACCTTGCTCACATAGCAGATAGGCTTCTGATGTTTGTTTTCTTCCCTAAGTAAAACCGAACTTACTACCTCCTCTATGACCCCCAGATACAGGTATAAACTCTCCCCCTCCACAGGTTTAGACAACAGGGGTGCTGATGCCAGATATTGTTTGAGCTCGTCAAACGCCTGCTGACATTCATCTGTCCACTGAAAATTCTTGGGCTCTCTCAGGGCTTTAAAAAATGGGAGACACCTTTCTGCGGACCTGGCTATGAACCTATGTTACGCAGCAACACGACTGGTCAAGCGCTTCACATCTTTTACGGTCTTTGGAGGCTCCATCTGCTAAACGGCCTAAATCTTTTCTGGATTCACCTCAATTCCTTTCTTAGATACCACGTACCCTAGGAATTTTCCTGATTCTACAGCAAATGTGCATTTTAGGGGATTCAGCTTCGTTTGGGCTCTATGCAGGTTTTGAAATGTTTCGCTCAGGTTGTCTATGTGATCCTCAGCTCGCACACTGGTGACTATCATGTTGTCCACATATACTTCTATGTTCCTACCGATCTGGAGCTTAAAGATAATTTGCACCAGCTTCTGATATGTTGTGCCAGCATTTTTCAGGCCAAACGGCATCATGACATAGTAGTAGATTGTGTCACCAGCATCAAAAGCTATTTTCTCCTGGTCGTCCAACAGCAACTGAACCTGGTGATACCTTGAGCTAGCGTCAAGGAAGCTCATCCGCTCATGCCCAGCTGCCCGCTCTACCAGCTTCTCCACATTTGGCAAGGGATGAGGGTCTTTTGGACACGCCTCATTTAAGTTGGTGAAGTCAATACACATCCTTCACTTGCCGTTTGGTTTCTTGACGAGCACAGGGTTGGACACCCACTCAGAGTATTCTACTCTCCTGATGAAGCCTGCCTGTACTAATTTTTGTATCTCTTCATCTATGGCAGCTTGCTTCTCAGGGCCAAAAAGGCAACGCTTCTGAACCACTGGCCTTTTGGTGATGTCCGTCCTGAGCTTATGGGCGGTCAACTCTGCTGGGATGCCAGGCATTTCATCTGTTGTCCACACAAACACATCTTGGTTAACCCTTAAAAACTCTAGAAGCTCTGCTCGCTCTTCTTTTGTGAGCTTGGTGCCGATCTTAACTGTTCTTTCTGGCACATCAGGGTTTAAAGGGACCGTTTCCACCGGTTCAACTGGCTCAACCTTCTGTTCGACACCTTCAGGTCGATGTTCGATATCTGATATGCTCATTGTCTGTTGACCAAGCTGGGTTGGCCTGTGATTTTCAGAAGAACCTGTTGGGGCCGCAGCGAGCTCAACCTTCTTGAAAGTATCTTGGTAGCAGGCTCTGGCCATCTTCTGGTTCCCCTTAAGCACTCCTACCCCCTGAGGAGTTGGGAATTTCATACAGAAATGGGGTTGTGAGATGACAACCTTCAGCTCGCAGAGTGTGGCTCTTCCCAGTATAGCATTGAAAGCTAATTCCATCTTGACGACCAAAAAGGTAATGGAAGCCATCCTGAAGCGCGGTTTCGAGCCCATATAGATAGGTAGAGTAATGACTCCTTCAACCGGGACGGGTTGATTATTGAATCCGTAGATGGGCCCCTCATACTTCTGTAGCGAGCTCGGATTTAACTGCATCTTCTGAAGGCAGCTCCAATAAAGGATATCTGGTGAGCTACCAGTATCAATGAAGACCTTGTTGACGTTATGATTGCCTATATGGACTGTTGCCACAAAAGGATCTGCATGAGGCATCATAATGTCAGGCTCTCCGTCTGCCCACTTATAATCTGCCAGACTAAATGTAATGGGCGCATTCTCCCATTCCGCTTCTTCAAATGGGCGCTTAAGAGGCCGGTTCTTATTAACAGTCATCACCTGGCGGACATATGCCTTGCAGCCTCAGGCGCTTTGGCCCCCTGAGTGCATACCGCCAGAGATCATGTTGATTGTGCCAAATGGCGAGGGTATCCCATTGTATCCAACCCCTTTGTGGTCCTTTTGATTTTGCGCGGATCCTTTCTGTGCTTGCCCGCGCCTATTGAATGGGCGTCCCCTGTATGCTTTGTTCAGCTCAGATGAGTATTGACCCGCCTGGTAAAGATTTGGATTGTTATCGAACTGATATCCCGATGCTTGAGATCGGCCGTACTCTTGCACAAAATGGGTCTGGGTGGGTTGCCAAACGTAAGGCTTCTGTACATACCCCTCCCATTTTCCATTGTGAGCTAAGAATTCAAGCTCGTTCTTCAGGCTCTGACAGTCTTCTGTGTTATGGCCGTATCCACGGTGGTAGTCACAATATTTGCTTCTGTCAGCTCGTGAAGGATCGTGCGTTAGGGAGGGGGTCTCTTGACCCAATGCTGTATCTGCGTCAATATTTGGGATCTTGACAAGCTCAGGGGAATGTAGCTGTCATATTTTGGATAGGATGGTAGTTTTCCCCTCTGTTCGCCAACCTTCTGTTTTTTCTTGTCGTCTCTGCCTTCAGGCTGCTTGGGCTCTTTACCCTGTCTATCATTAACTCGTCTCTTGGAAGATTGAAAATCTTCGGACAGTATAAAGCTTGCTGACCTGTCATTTACTTCATTCCACGACTTAGGTGGATTCTCTAGTAGGTCGTCTAGAAACCGGCCAGACTTCAAACCATGCAGCAAGGCAGGTAAGCAGATGGTATCGGGGACGTTGTCAATGTCCAAAGTAGTTTTGTTGAATCGTTGCATGTAGTCCCTCAAAGATTCTCCCTCTTTCTGATGAACCTGCATTAGTTCGGTCGCTGTACGTATAATCTCCCTTTGGCTCGTAAATTTGTTGGAGAATAGCTTGGCGAGCTGGGAGTATGCGTCTATAGAGTGCCTGGGGAGTTTATGATATCATCTCCTGGCCGTTGACTTCAGTGTCGCTGGGAACACTTTGCACATCATGGCGTCATTGGCATTTTGGATTCTTGTGATGGCCTGATAGGTATGCAGGTGCTCGTCTGGGTCACCCGAGCCGTCATATGTTTCCAGGTGGGGGATTTTGAATCCCTCTTGGTATGGTTCTGCAGTGATGGATAGGTTTAGTGGGGCACTATCCAAGTCAAGGGTCTGTTGGTGTGACTTGGGACTTTTCAACTCGTCAATGGATTTCTGTACATCCTTGAGTTGCCTTTCAAGGTCAGTGTTTTTCTTTATCAGTTCTTCATTATGCCTAGATGAGCTGGGTTCGGGGTTTAACCTCCCACTCCCCCTTGGTCTAGTTGGGACCACCACATTACTTAGGGCCGAGGAGTTACGGGTTGCAACTACTGCAGCTGGCTGTGCATCCCTGTTCAGCAAAGGAATCAGGGGGTCATCAGGAATCAGGTGGGCAAGGATTTTACCCATTGCCATTTCGAGAACCCTGGTTCTCTCTTCAAGCTCGGTTGTTCGAGCAAGCTCTGTTGACCTTTAAGGTTGTTCATGTTGTGCATTGCCTTGTCTGGGATGTCTATGCCTTGTTCCTGTTGGAATTTGAAATTGTTCAGGCTGGGTTGCATGCCCAGTTGGTGTTCTTTCATCATCATCTGTTTCACTTAGTTGGTCCTATTCTGCTCCTCCGACGAAAAGGTTTCTTGGCATTGGCCTAAAATCATTCAAGCCGGGCCCTGATAGTTGAGTATCCACCTGTTCGTCCATTTCATTCCCGGGGGGGCGACTTCTGGTAAAAGTATGAACCATCTTATCTTTCAGCAAGTTAAGCTACACAACTTCCTATTCAAGGTTCCCACAGACGGCGCCAAATGTTTGGGTAACTTCACAATCCAACACTGTTGAAGTCTTCAGCTGCTTCTACACCTGAAAATCCCGAGGATGTTTCCTCAGATAAAATACTCTGACGCTTAAGTCAGCAATACTCAATATTCTAGAGAGAGATGCTCTCAAAGAGTAATTGCAGAGAGAGAGACGTAGAAGAATTAATACCTTGCATGGAGGTAGTTGGGGGGTATTTATAGCCCTAGATGTTGACATGGGATCAAACATGTCTTCACCCGTTTGGTCCACATGTCACTGCCCACGTGGGTATGTCTCCTCATCTTGGGCCAGTGGGTGTATAATTGGGCTTGCTGCATGTGGCTCGAAGTGGGTGTTGGGCCTAATCCCAACAGAACAGAGATGATTGTCCAGTTGGTCAGCTCCGAATTCGTAACTTCTTGGCCAAGGTGTTTCCCTCCACCAAGCTTCGCATCCGTAATAGCAGATGGGAGGTTTCTCTAAACCTTGGCCCATTCAACGCCAAAGAGCATGTCTTGATTTCAGTTTTCGCTCAAACTGGGACTGCTTTTGTTGGGGGTACCGCTTATGGAGTCGGCATTGTGAACGTTATTCAGCTATTTTACCACAACAAGATCACTTTCTCAGCAAGCTGGATGCTAGTCATCTCTACACAGGTATATATTTACACAGTTTAGGGTTTACGTAATGCATGTTACATTCACACTAAACACTAATAAAGAAGAGAGAGAACAGAGAGAACAAGGAATCTGCAAAGGCAAACTAAAAAATTAAGAAAGCACAATTTTAGAGGAAAGAAAAAAAAGAAGAGAGAAAAAACCATCGTTGTTTGTTTGAATTTTTTATTATTATTAACAACGGGATTAATAGGATTTGGTTGTTGAAAGCACAATTTGTTGTGGTATCATTGGTGATTGATTCCAGATGTTTTTCAAGTGTTTGTATTTTTTTATGTTGATGAGTTGTCTGATTAGAGCTTGGTGCAGCTTTTGGGGTATGGATTGGCGGGGATTATGAGAAAGTTTGTGGTGGAACCTGCCCATATGTGGTGGCCAAATAGTCTGGTTCAAGTCTCCTTTTTTAGGTAAAATTTATGCGTTTTTTATTGCAGTCATATATAGTTTTGGTTTAATTGACTGCTAGATAATACCCGTGCCATGCGTGGGAACTTTAATTACAAAGAAATAGTAATTTATGTTTTTAATTTTTATAAATATTATTGTTATATAAAATATTATTTATTCTCAAAAAGTAATTATAATTAAAAAAGCAAATGTTATATGCATATTTACAGTTCTCTAACCTATATAAATTATTTCTAATAATAAAAGAGAATTGCTTAACTATAAATCGATCAACAAAACAAAATTTTCTGAATAAAATTAATATGATAATAAGTGTCTCACAGTGGTCAACAGATCTTTTCAATTTAATGTGTCATACTTGTTTTGAATGATTTTTTTCTTAATAAATATAGATAGATATAAATTCTTTTGATTTAATAATTGCAACAATAACAGTATGTTTGTACTAGGAGGAGAAGGAATTCATGTTCATGTTCTGTCAGTCGCTTACAATTACGTAAACACTTCCGCAGGGCATTGCATGAGAAAGATAACGGCAGGATGCCCCGAAGGAAATTCTTCTACATTGCACTCATCTGCAGCTGTGCTTGGTATGTCTTTCCCGGATACCTCTTCGAAATTATGGCATCCATTTCTTGGGTCTACTGGGCATTCCCCAAGTCGGTAACTGCCCATCAGATTGGATCAGGCATTGATGGACTTGGCCTTGGATCCTTTTCCCTGGATTTGTCAACCGTATTCTCTTCGCTTGGCAGCCCTCTCATCACCCCTTTCTTCACGA